ATAGATTCACGTATCGCTGTTTTTGAATGTTGATCCTGACCCTAATCCTCACCTGAAGTGTTGACCGTAATTCATAACAGCGAGACTCGCAAAATTCACGGAAACCTCTGCGGAGCAGAGAGAACTCTGGGTAGCAGACCCCACTGAAAAACACGTATGTGATGTGGGTATCCTGGATAAATGTTATTATTATTGTTATTATTATTATTATTATTACCAGCAGAGAGGTTCAGGTCTGTTAAACTTCTGTATGACTTGTGAAAAATATATTATGTCATGCAGAAAAATATATTATGGCCTTTGCCAAATGAATAAATGTTTCTGCTACCAAACCATTTATATTTGAATTGAATTGAATTGATTTAATGATTACTGACTTTGTAACCCAAAAAGGTTAAATTACACCAGTATTACATAAATTAAGAGAAGTTAAAATTACATAATAATTACGTATTTAAGATTATTTACATTTCTAAAAACTTATTTACTGTTAATCTTTAATATACTTTGAGGTAAAAACGAATTCTTAAGTGGCAGTCCCGCTAAGAGCGGTCCGATGACTTTGACTTCGGAAAATAGATTTCCTTTATTTTTTGTGTGTTGAAAGGCATTTGTATACAAGTGTCCAAAATAAATTTATTTTTTGAAAATTCTGTTTTATGGCTTCGCTAGACGTACCCTGGATTCCAGAGCCTTCGAAGTAAATAATAAATTGAAATGTCGCGAAGGCTCTGGTTCAACGGGGGCGATTCTTTGATTAAACCGCGCCAATCACAAAACAGAATTAGTGGTTTTAGTACAGAATCTGTACTAAAACCACTAATTCTGTTTTGTGATTGGCGCGGTTTAATCAAAGAATCGCCCCGTTGAACCAGAGCCTTTGCGACATTTCAATTTATTATTTACTTCGAAGGCTCTGGAATCCAGGGTAGGGGGCAGGACATTTTGTTTAGTTGTTAATTGAATTTTGCCAGCCCACCCCCGGTCATAAATAATGAACGGTCCCTTAATCCTTAAAAAATGCCCTGGATGAGCCTGGTTTGTTGCCACACATTTTTGATAATTTCTTCCAATATTCAAGAGATGTTCATAGTTATAATACCAGATACTCATCTAATTTAAATAACTAAAAATCTACCTTTGTTTTCCTTCTTTAAGCAAGTTAAAACCTACTTATTGGCTAAACAACATACCTATTGAAATTTGCATCATCTATATGATATAAATTATACTTATTATATATTTTTCAGCTTTTCTATTAACAAAATCTAATGGAAAATTAATATTTTCTTCAGTTGTCTGACATAATCTATATTAATCTAATAAGAATAAGAATAAAATTCAATGGAAGCTAACTAGAAAACCTAACGGCTCATTTAGCTTTCAAGCTCTAAAAATGTTATTTAAAATATAAATTCTATCTATGGCCACATAAAATAAATTCCTTGATTCCCATCACCGCCCGACTGTATTTTAAGAGACGCGTGAAATTTTTTTATATTTTGTTATACAATATAAATGAACCGCCCGACAAAATATTTCAAGACAGTTAAGTTTTTTATATTTAAAATTGGGTTTTTAGTGCCATTTTAAACTGCCAATTTCAAACAAATAGAACCTTGAAAGAAATTTCATTGCATTTTAACGGCCAACTTCGCATTCAGTTGAAGGGTTCAGTCATTGTTCGTGGAGAAATATGTTCATTTTGGTTTGTGACACTTCACTTTGGAAATCACAGAAATATTAAATGTTAGGAATTATCAGTTTTTTATTTATTGATGATAAATTATATAAATATAAAATATAAACCTCCCGGCTCTTCGACATTTTCAAAGTCTAGTGATGAGAATCAAGAAATTTATTTTATGTGGCCTACAGTATGTACCAATTATTTAAGAATTGTGTATTATTTATGTATTTCTATCTAAGAGTGAAATAAAGTTGTATTGTATTGTATTGTATTGTATATTATATTAAAAAAAGGCTAACATAAAATAGAATACCCCCCTAAGAGTCTGAAACAATAAATGAATTTACATGTACAGTATACTGCAGTGAAAAGGTGGTCCACCAATGCAAGTACAGTATCAGGGCCGTAGGAAGCTCTTTTCGATTGGGGGGGCTGAAAGCGAGGGCCGAAGGTCCGAGGAAATTTTTAAATTTAGAGTCTCTAAAATGCCATTTCCTGGACTTTGGGGGAAGATTTAACAGAATTCTGATAGTCAGAGAACAGCGTTTTAGTATGTCGAAATTTACAGGAAAGTATGGGCCAGACTGTAGTATTATAAATGCGCGGCGGGAATTTTCGTCGTAAATGGCAGTTGCGCGGAAATGAAGGCAGAACATTTGAGAAAATTTCGAAAATCTGGAGTCTCTAGATAGATCTGAAATGGCATTTTCAGAGTTTTCTTTCGCAAGACCCAACGCGCAAAAGACAAAATAAATCATTAGTTCATCAAAAATGTGCAGATTTTGTGGGATTTTCTTGAAAATGCGCGACAGAAATTCAGCTAAAATTTCTACGAGAGGAACGATCTGGAGTATGAGTAATATCTTCATTCTTTGCAGTTTGTCACAGATTAAATGATAAAGTTTGCATGATTTTGAAAAAAGAATGATTATTAGCAAATTATTGGGGGGGGCTGCAGCCCCCCCGGTTGCTACGGCCCTGAGTATGGAAAAACATGTGCAAATGGTCCTTTCAATGAATACAACCACATAGTTTAACTGTATTGTAATTTTATCATGTTGCCCATCCCAATTACAAACTGGTCAAACTTTTTGGAGGAGAAAAGTCTGTTTCCATCATGGTTATTTTGTTTATCACCACTCTCCTCCCCATAGTTAATACCAACAATCAATTCACAAAAGTGAGGGTGGTGAGCTGGTCATTCGTAAAAAATGAGGACAGTTTGTGCAGCCCCACTTCAAGACTGCTGGCTTACCAGACATTCCAACTCTCCTGATTTTACCCCGATTTTACCGGAAGTCTCCTGAAAATTCATGCAATCTCCTGGTGTCCCAATTTTTATCAAATTCTCCCATTTTTTCAGAATATTCAGGAAATATCGTTAAAAAATCACAAACATACTGTTTTAACAACATAATAGCAGAGCCGTAGCTAGACAGATAATTGGGTGGGTGTATATTCATATATTTGTGTACTGCCTGATGGATTTCTTTTGAAAGCGATTGTTTTTATGGTATGTGAACATGAATATATGAATATACCCCCAATTATCGCGTCTAGCTACGGCCCTGCATAATAGTCTGTTTTGACCTTTTTATGAAGTTACTTTATGGCAATTTATAGGATCACTTAGAACAACATGTTCCCAAAATGCAAGAAACACTATTTCAGAAGACTTAATTTTTATTATTTTTCCCCCAGAAGAACTAGCTTTCAATTCACTAAACAGTCTCCCTAAATTTTTCCTCCAGTAGTTGGAATGTCTGGCTTACCCCATAGCTAAATAAATCTGTGGATAACATTTAAATCTATTTGTCAACAAAATCTGGTTGGCTACAGACCCTAAATTTACCCTTGGGTGCAGATGTTTTCTAGTATCAGCAGTGGCATTCCTTAGCCATTTCAAGTGGGCAGGGGGTTGACACCCCATCTTGCCCGAATTCTTCCCTCCCATCGAGGTCTACATTGTAAGTCGGAAAATTTTAAAATTGAAATTTAAATATCCGGCAATTAACCCTGGTTCTAGAGAGGCACTTTGTGAAATGAGAGGCTAAAAGGAAGAGCCTCTGGTCACATCGGTTGCAAATCCCACTTCCACACTTGAGTAGATTCAGAATTTGAATCTCGCATGTGATATTGGCCATATGCAAAAATATGTCAAACTGGTTTGGGAAATAAACATTATTATTATACATTTAGTATATATTCTTGTTCCTGATTGGTCAGAGAGCACCGGATAATTCTCAATATTCAGTACTTATTACGAAATTTCAGCTGCTGACGTGCTCAGCATCCAATAATAGTTTTCTTGGATCAAACTTGCATCCAAAAAAAAATATTATTGGACACTGTCATGCCCAAGCCCCAGCACGACCAACCCAAAAGCACGCAAAAATAAAATAAACAAAATGGTTCACAGTAGATTTGCTTCAATAGATGAAAACAACCTGTCAAAATTATTAGCAGATAAAGACAGTGACATTACTAAGAAAGCCACAAAAGTTTGTTTATAGTTGTGTGAAATTTTAGTGAAGTTGAAAATTCTGAAAGAAATGTTCATTTTCTACTTTATTTTTAATTATGCAGTATTGTTGTAATATACTTGAAACATTAATAAACTTTGTTTAATCATTTTATATGTTTCTGATGTCTTTAAATGTATAATAAAACAATTATTGGATTCAGCTTTCGCATGACATCAAGAATTATTCAGACCTCGTCAGTGTTATCCGCCTCAGTTTTGCTTTGGCAGATAACATTGACCTCGGTCTGAATACCAGAGGCTCTTCCTTAGACTCATCTCTTGAGCTCCAGAGGCTCTTCCTTCTCATCTCTTGTTTCTTTCACCTCGGAAAGAGCCTCTGGAACCAGGGTAATCCGGCAGTAATTCTATTTGTAAATCCAACTGTGAGCAGCTTGATTTAAAACTCATAAAAATTTAGCCAACGACATCTTCCTTATTTTACCAATCAGAAATCGTTTGTTCGAAAGCTGGTTAGCTTAACCCATGATTAATTAAGCTATCTGTCCAACAGCTTGCTGACAACCAGCCCCAGCATTCCATTTTGTGATTTTACTGACAAAGGGTCCCTTAGTAACATCAGAAAATGATTGTCAAAGTAATTTTGGTAAGGGTTGCATAACCCCCAATCAACCACCCCCCTCCCCCATGGAAAGTATGCCCATGGGTAACAAAAGGCTAACTTCTTAGCTTAAAAATTTAAAACTCACTAATAAACTTCCACTTTTGATTATAAAGTCCCTCTTAAACCTCAGGCCTAGTGAAACAAGGACAAGAGTTGATGAGAGTTAATAGTAGTCATGCATTGCTACAGGAGGCATTCCAAGCACTAAAATAACAAAATAAAGGTTTGATGAGTGTTCTATTAACCACGTTTAACTTAAATAGTATACATGGTAGTGTTGGGAAACATTAAGAACTAGCCAAGATCGCGTGACTATGAAGTGCTAACTCTCATCCTTGTTTGATCAGGGCTTTATACCAAAAAACATTCTTGAAAAATTTGTATTATTTAATACCAGTATGCTTTTGAATGATCAATTTTTAGGGAGTTTTAAACTACTTTATGCAGTAGCATAGTGGTTTCTATTTTTAGTTACAATTACACTGTATTTGTCAATTTCATAAAACAATTTGTCAATTTCATAAAGAATGTTGTCAATTTCAGGAATATATTTGATGCGTGATGTAACCGGTGTTTTTTTACTGAAAATATGAACTGATTTATTTATTCCATTTATTAAAGTATAAAAAACCCCGCTATTTTGTTAACAGCGGATAAACAAAATAGCAAAATACAACATAAAAATATTACTAAAGTACTAGTTGATATGAACACTATTAAATAAGCGAATTAACCTTGAACCCTGCCGTCCATGCGCCCGTGAGAAAAAAATATAGTTTTCATGACTCATGTTATGCAACTTCTTTTAGTTTTAAAATCAAACACCAAAGAAAGTTATCTTTTCATCAGTGGAAAATATTTGAGTCTCAAATTTCATATATTACCTGTAAAATATCGACAAAGTTTTGAGCTTTTATATGAACTAAACACAGTGTATAGTTTTAAAACCTAGTCGATTATTCATATATACTTTTTTGTTGATTTCAGGCCAAAATATTATTCGAAACATTAATGAAATCACTTCAGGTGTATTGGCACTATAATCAGGTAAAACATGTTTGTCGCAGACATTATAGCGTCAGAAACGAAATTCGAATGTGCAATGGAATTTATACTGCTTATAAAAGTTCGAATGGTGATCGTGATTTACTGGACATTCTGAATGAAATTATAAACCATCCTAAGACCTAATATCGCATAACAACAATGAGTTGATAATAGACAAACAAGCGACTTTCCATTACAAAATCTTTAAACAATGGTTGGGATCAGATTTGTTTGACATGTGGATTTATATAGTTTAGAGAGAAACATACCTGAATTGTCACAGCAAACTCTTTGAGTACATAGTAGAAACAAAGCAATTGCCAGGATATAAATTAAGTGGTACATCCTTCACGTACATATATGTTAATTTAGGCAGAAACACAATTCGTTGTCAGCAAAATATCGATAAATTGTTCTTCTAACTCGCGGTTAGTGATCGCAAGACAACAAGCATATTGTGGCAAGCATATGTCTGGCGACTTTGACACATGTAATTCGAAACCTTCCGGCAACGACGCGGTGGTTTGCTGATTGCCCGCCCTTGTCAAGTTTTTCAAAAATCTCACTGATATTCATATATTGTCACCACGACAACTTCATTCCCGTTTAATAACTATATAAAGTCAGGCAGACATTTAACAAACAGAATGTCAACAAGAAATTTTGAGGGCTTCTTTATACACGCCTTGCACGAATTAACTGTACTGATTGGCTGTTTGTAACTATTTATGTACCTTTTTGCGGCTTTATTTCAGGCTGCTTTTAAGTTTCTCGTGCAATTTTTAATATGCCACCAATATGAATGTTTCCCAAAAAAGGGTAAAGCCTTATTTTTCTCTATCAAAAACAAATTCCCTTGGTAGTTGCCGAATGCCGAGCCGGCGTTACGAGGGGTCACGCCATCTATGGGTTACGCGCACGCTTTTCCAGAGTAATTCCCCCCTCGTATTGTTTAACGAGGGTTAGGCCTGTGTGTTTTAGAACTTTATATACACAGTGGTATCACTGACTTTTTCTATAAATTAACTTTAATGCTACTTTTTTAGTTGTCGCAAAAGCACTAATTCGGTACGACATTCGTTATGAAAGCTCGCATAAAAGCGTTATGTTTATAACTTTTGGATATTTTCCATCGGCTATTGGTATCATCGATCATTCATTCATCATTGGCTTGAAGGGTGTCCTATACCCCCAGCAGTTGTGACACCTTGGTTAGGTAGCGCGCTCATCAACTGATAGGTATATATGAACGGTGATATAGCAAATCCGAATTAATTTATATATCACAATGGTTAAACATGCTGTATTTATTTCCTATTTTCCGAAACATCTTTACATAAAGAAATATATCGTATATTCGGAATGCGGTTTCTGGTCAGCTGTGCCAAAATTTCGTGCGTCAAAACATCCTACGCAATATCATCTCGAAACTTTTATCAACACGAAATACGATATGTTATTTCAGACATGGGAGGAAACCATAATGACCAAAAAAATGTTGAGCTTGCATGACTTCAGAGTTCAGATGTGCGTCGTGCGTGATTATTTTACCCCTTTCCGTTATTAAATAAAGTAATATACGATCATTAAAGAGGCATGATACTCTTCTGTTTATATAATATGAATAATGCATTACAACAACCATAAAACTACTTCATATATCTATTGTAATCAAACTACTAATAAATTTAATTAAATCATCACGATCATGATTATCTAACCTCACAGTCTGTGGCATTTATAGTATTTTTATAGGATTCAAAATTGTATTGAATGCTTATTTTCATTGCAACTCGGGCATAGTACAAAACATGGACTGGACCCATGGACTGGACCCAAAATTGGGCTCAAAATTGGACCCAAAATTGGACTCAAAATTGGACCCAAAATTGGACTCAAAATTTTAGCCAAAATTTTGCCCAAAAATCCATTATTTATTCGGAGAGAAACAACCCTCAGAATATCGTGCTTTGATTTAATATGTATAGGCAAAAAACTTCACGTTCCATCACTTTTCCTTGACCTATCTAGCCGTTTGTCTTTCAAAATTCTATATTCTATTTTATGATAATAAAATAGAATAATGCATAATGATAAGCCCACATATAGCTAGTTGCGATAAATATTAGAATATATGGACAAAACAAACTTTGCGAACTCGTTACTCGTTAGAGGATATATATGCCGGAATATATAGAGGGTGTATTAATAATACAGACACAAAATGTATATAATTAAAATATAACTATATATTGATGTTAACATCAATATATTGATGGAATGATTTGTATCGATGTGATGTATTTGTGACCATTGCGCAAAGATATTTCACAAAGGTTTATTATTTACGAACTACGAGATACCCTAGATAACGTTTAGAAAATAGAATATATATAGAATTTTGGAAGACAAATAGCTACTGATAGGTCAAGGAAAAGTGATGGAACGTGAAGTTATTTGCCTATACAAATTAAATCAATTAAGCACGATATCAGTCTGAGGGTTGTTTCTCTCCGAAAAAATAATGGATTTTTGGGAAAATTTTGGCTAAAATTTTGAGTCCAATTTTGGGTCCAATTTTGATTCCAATTTTGGGTCCAGTCCATGGGTCCAGTCCATGTTTTGTACTATGCCTGCAACTCGTGTATTACATAGGGCGGTAATGGTTGCTAATTTGTTATGTTAGCAAACAATAATATACGCACGTGCAAAAGCGGCGTTGCGCAGAATTCCTAATTTCTCTACAGTAGCAACTAGCCACACAAATTAGCATTTATATTGGAGCTCGCAGCTTTAAAGTACTTTGCGCGGCACTTGCTCACAGAGTTTGCGTGATTTATCGGATTGAATTTTGAATCAGCGTCGCATGACTGTCTCAGTACGGTCGCAGCAATATAATATCACCAGCAATATAATGATCTTCATAGCAATTCAGTTTAGATTATTGCGTTCTTCACCAAGTCGATCAAAAACGGCTGAATGCCAGAGTTAAGTGTTTTATAGAAGCCGTTTCAATATTAGTAGAACGGAATGACAAACAAATGGGAAATCATCTCATTAAAATGCACACATTTTTCTTCCCTTTGATTCAGGGGCCGCGGAACTGGGGGCATTGGGGGGTATGTGCCCCCCCCCCTCCACTTTTTTAAAAAAAATTTTCTGGGCTAAAGTGCCCCATTTAACGAACGAAAAAAGTATTTCTTGAATGAACGCCCTCTTTTGCTGGAAAGAAAGTGCTCTCTTTGCAGTATGAAGGCTCTGTAATGGCCATTTCCGACGTTATAGAGACTCATATTTTCAAAAATTTTCGTTCGGCTCGTGAACGACATAAAATCGTTTGATTTTGGTCATATACAAAAGTGCCCCTTTTGCCCAATGCCCCTCCACTTTCGAAATGCTTCCACGGCCTCTGCTTTGATTAATACCAGCATGATCGGCATATGCATGATAAGCAGATCATACTGCAGAGCCAGAGGTCAACATTAACTCTAAAATTTAAAAAAAAAATAGGGATAGTAAACACACAAACGTACAGCCATTCTTGCTGCAACTAAAAATATTAAAAAACACAAAAACTATAAGCAGATGGTCAATTTTCCTATTCCTGTTTGTGATTGAATTGAAGAGTCGAGGCTTCCGACCACTTTTGATAAAGTGGCTCACTTGAGCGGTTTTCTTTGAAGTGCAAAACATGCATATTTTAACTTCTTATTTTAGACAGAAATGATTTATGAAAATAAATATTTGCGCTTTATAGGATCTTAATAGGTGAACGCACCCAGAGTGATGGAGATACCGCCACACAGTCTTATTGGCGCGTTTTATATTCCGGTAACGTTATTGTCCACTTCCAATGCGAATTAATGTGAAATTTACTAACAGTGTGTCAGTATATTTATGAATTTTATTTGCAAACAACTATTATATAATTATTGACTTCTCTTTTCTGTTATAGTCTCGAGTTATACAAGAGTTGATACGAATTGGCTAGATATTAGCGCTAGCAAGCAAAAGAGAAAAAACTCTTATATTAGTCTTATATCAACATTTGCCTGACCGGCTCAAAGTTGACAGTCGCCCAGAGTGACGAGGTTGACGGTCAAACGCCGTCTCTTATCAACTCTCGTCAACTCTCATCCTTATCGTTTCACCGGGCTTAACTTGTAAAAATTGTTTGAATTAACATTACAAGTGGTTTTCAGTCGTATATAGCCCCGTTAACGTTTACACTACGCTCAATTTTTGGTACGGCACGGATAAAATTGGTACCCGTACCACTTTTTTCGTTCTTGGACCAAGAACCAAAAAAGTGGTACGGTACCAAAAATCGAGCGTAGTGTAAACGGGGCTCAACATAACCAAAAAAAAGTGGTACGGGTACCAATTTTATCCGTGCCGTACCAAAAATTGAGCGCAGTGTAAATGGGGCTTATGACGCAACAAAGTCTGACATGGTTTCGAAGAACCTTTGTGTCAAAGTGGGGTTTTAGTTGACACGTGCCATCGTCTTTTCTTGTAATTTCGTTAATGACCCGGAATGACATTTCCTTTGGCAACAAGGAAAGTTTTCAATTTTTCACACCTACTAGGGAATTTGACACAATTATCATAACTATGGTCCTCATCAGACATCACCCGTATATATTAGACATGTATGATCGTACAATTGTACAAATGTACTGCTAGTCAACTTTTTCGTGTGTTTTTGAGCAACTACATTAATTTCAAAAATGAGCTCCTTGACCTTTGCGGATTTGCATGGCAATGACGATAAATACACACTTTAAAATCCCAATTCTTTACCTTAATATAATTCATAATATTCATTCTATGGTACATCGATCGTCATGGACTCATGGTAGTACGTGAGTAGAGTACGGTCGGTAGTACGGTGTTCGGAGTGCGGTTACGGAGTGCAGAGTGTAGACCACGAACGGAAGCGGTTAGCAAAGTTAAATCTCTCTATGGCGTTTTGTTATTGAAGATGAACAGTTATTCACAATGCTAAATTAATTGTACATGTACCCTCCGGTTCATAGCCTGGCCTGCTGCATATCCACTATAGTGTACATTACATGACGTAGCAGGGAGAGGCGGAGCGAGAAAGAGAGACTTGTCAACTTCGGAAAAACTCGGTTCAAAACTGAACCGAAAATGCTAGACTTGCTTTAATTGTTTTCCTTCAATTTCTTTCTGTATTATTTACTATAATGGAACTCATGTTATTTACACTGTGCTAGATCAATACATATAAACACTGACAGAAAACAATTAAAGCAAGTCTTGCATTTTTGGTTCAGTTTTGAACAGGGACGCCGAAGCGTGGGTAGGTCACAGGGGGGCAATGTTGACGTAAGGTATTTCGTTTCCGAATTTTTTTTCCGGAACCTTAATTCACCAAAACAAGGGCAAAAAATTTTGAAAATATAATTTTTGACACAATATTCCAGAAAATTTCACATATATTTCAATATTACGCACATTTCACCCATAATTCATACTTTTTAATCGTTGTACCATATAATTTTTGGGTTTAGAATTTTTATCTATAAGGGCACTTT